CAATTACCCTGTTTTCGATCCTATCATATTTAGCAGAAGTTTCTATCTCATCTACTTTAGTTTTCATTTTTTCATACTTCTTTTACTGCCTTTACTATGACAATAAGTCATTTTGCTTTGGCAATTCTTAATCAAATATTTTTGAACCATAATTTCCTCACCTTGGGGGGCTGATGAGTCGCCGTCCTCCTCACCAGACTCCTCCCCAGCCAGCAACCAAAAGCGGTTGCCGACAGGGGGGAAGCCTAGCCCTCCGCCGCGAACTTGGCCGCCTCCTAGAGACGTGGCGAGCGGCGCAGGAAGCGAGGGGATCTGCGTAGGGCGTAGTTCTTCTCCTTCATCTTCTTCTCTCCCCCTTCTTCTCCACCATATGACTCGACCCCTCTCCCCGATCTGCCTATTCCTCCTCCGATTCCTCCTCGCTGTCGTTGATCTGTATGGGCACCCAACGAGTCCCAGGAGTGGGGATGGCCGTACTTGCACGCACACTGTCGCCATCGACGACCCATGCGTAACAATGCAATTAGCCTGGGTTTTGCCTCACAAATCTGAAAGTCTAGTGCCGTACGTTAATCACACATGCACGGGAAGCAATGGCGAAACTGCTGCATGAGCCTTGGATCGACCGTGATTAGCAAGCACTAGTAGAAAAGGGGGCATCAGTCCCGGTTCATAAGGGCCTTTAGTCCCGGTTCTTGAACCGGGACTAAAGGGTCGTTACTAATGCCTCCCCCCTTTAGTCCCGGTTCAAACTGGAACCGAGACTAAAGGTCGCGGCCACGTGGAGCTCCACCTTTAGTCCCGGTTGGTAACACCAACCGGGACTAAAGGAAATTTTATGATTTTTCTTTTTTGATTTTTTTGAATTTTTTTAAATTTCTGAATTATTTTAACCTCTAATCTCTAATCACCACCCCTCATCAATGCTCAGTTTATCCTCTAATCTCTAATCACCCCTCATCATTCCTAATCATCTAACTTCCCGAACGGTCACCCATCCTCCCACTCCCCCAGCCTGAGCACGCTTAACTTCCGGTTTCTATTCTCCCTCGTTTCCAAATCTGCACTTGTTGCTTTCCTGACAATAGTAAGATGTCAATCCTATTAACCCTCAGGAATTTTGCGTGAGCATGAAGTGACACATTTCACTGTTTGAGTTTGAAACTATTGTTTTAAAAAACAATAATTATTTAGTAACACTAATTTTTCTTGAATAATTAGTTTGACCATTGTTTGACCAACGTTTGACCACAGTTGACCAGATTTGACCAAAATTCAAAATAACTGAAATAATTATCTAGTAACACTAATATTCTAGAATAATTAGTTATACCATTGTTTGACCATAGTTTGACCACACAGTTTGAAATTTTTTCGATTTTTTCCACTCTAGATCTCAAAAGCCCCGTAACTTTTTTTCTGCTAGGATTTTGAGGATTTTAAAAATGTTTAACGGGGTTCCCCCTGTTAGGTTTTCGAGTAGATGATTTTTCATATAAAAACTTTTTCATCCGAGTTAGTATGCAAAAGTTATGCCCATTTTACTAAATTCCAGAGAGGTTTTACAAATAAAGTCGAAATTCACATTTGCAAATTTTCCCAACAACTAGACCACATATCACATGGGAAAGTTATTTTTTTTTACATTTTCATCATTTTCTTTTATTTTTTTGAATACTGAAAAGGCGATCCACGCGCAGGGGGGGAGGGGGGGTAGAGTTTGAAAACGGGACCTTTAGTCCCGGTTCGTGCCATGAACCGGTACTAATGCCTCGAACCCCATTAGTACCGGTTCGTGGCACGAACCGGGACTAAAGGTCTAACCCTTTAGTCCCGGTTGGTGCCACGAACCGGTACTAATGGGCATCACACCCTTTAGTCCCGGTTCATGGCATCAACCGGGACTAAAAGGTCCAGACGAACCGGGACAATTGGCTCACGTGGCCCGGCCGGCCCCCTGGGCTCACGAACCGGGACTAATGCCCCCATTAGTCCCGGTTCTGGATTGAACCGGGACTAATGGGCTAACCCGGCCTGGACCAAAGCCCTCTTTTCTACTAGTGAAGTGAGATAGCATGCACGAAAGATTTCAGCATACTTGAACGTACTTTCCTCTGCAGGTACAACAAAATCATCATATCATATCATAACATATATGAGAACTCGCAAGATATATAATTGGCACTCACGCTCACGCGTCACCTAAGTTGTATCTCCCTAGCTAGCTATAGTACTGGAGCTGCTTGTCAAAACCTAGGCTGGTTATCTCATGAGACCGACATGTCGACAGGATGTACCATAGAGTACGTACGTACGTAATTACAGCTATCAAATGTGAAACGATGCACACAATGTAGGGATGGAGAGGCTCTCGTGTGATTCGTCTGAGGGTTGGTTAGTTTACTTGTGGACGGTGGTATCTTCCCAGATTCCTAGGATTATTGCAGTCTCCGCCGACGATTCTTCTCGGAACATTCTTGGCCTCAAGGTTCGAAGAAATGCTCCACGGGATCTCAAATCTATATTTCTACCAAAAATACATTGATTCTCTTATAAAAGATAAGATGCATTATTTAATGAAGAGATGTTACAGATACAACAGGAATCAACTGTTATAGTTCTTCAAACCATATGAGGTCAACCCAATTGGTGCAGATTAGGTCTACCGTGTTATTTTTAGAGGTATGAATGAATGTTGAGATAGAGATGCTGGACCTAGATGCGACGAGTTTTATCGAGGGTCTATGTTGTTCATGTTTGTTTTGGTATTTTCAATCTGATGTGCATTATCAATGTCATCAACTATTAAAATTAAATCGTTCCTCAAAGTAATTTCACTATTATGAAATTTTGATCCAAACTCTCGTATTATCCAAATTTTGAATACAACGACTATGGCTTGAATGATCAAGGGTTTACCATGCAGTGATCCCCTAGTGTGTACAATATTACTTACGAGAGTGTCAGGCTTTGTCGACCAACATTTTAAGTCATTGTTGTGAAGTATAGAACCATGTGGTAATTAACAATAATTGAAAAGATTCTCAACAATGTGGAACAATAAAGAAGAGAACGCCCAATAGGACCTCGTTTCCCTCCTCAGGGGCGACTCTCGGAGTAGTGACACAAACCCTACTGCCACAACCCCTTACTTGGGCAACTACCAACTGTTGTCACTATTGGCCTTTCTCCCGAAAGGGGCACCTGCGGTTTGATGTTGTGTCGTGGAGGAAGATGTTGGATAATGCAGGCACCGCGCATACAGCACTGCATGAGTGCTCTAACCGGCGGCAATGGTGACTAGATATGGTCGGGTCTGCTGCCGGCTCGTTGGTAGAGGATGATGAACTCGGATGTGGTGGTGCATTGGCTTGCCGGCGGAGGAAGTTTAGCATCATGTTTGGTTGGGGGGGAGGGGGGTTGTGTGGTGATTTGTCTTGTTGGCGTCAGGATCGAGTGTCCAATAACAACCATGTTTAAGTCATAGTGGTACCAGAGCTAAACTTTGTGGTGCGTCTGATTGATGCAGCCACCGAGCTTGGACACCATTTTGTGGCCTCGTGGGATATGTTTCTCCACGTGGTGCAGGTGGTTACGTCTCACAGGTTTATGTCTTTGGGTGGATGACAATGGCTACTAGCTAGTCAATGGTGGGACTTGACTATTTGTGCATATTTGAGGAGAGTCGGTCAAAAACGGCGACGGTTACTCTCAAGGGCATCGCTATGCGTCATCTGAGGGGTCGTTTGTGGTGCCACCTCTATCTCCTGTTTGTGCAGTCCATGCTTTGGGTGACGACCAATGTCTTATTGGGTCAGATGATGGTGATGCATATGGCGTTGTTTCCCGTTGCTCTTCTCGAAGGCCTCGATTTATTGCACGATCTCAATGGCGAGTTATGTGGTCTACAGCTTTAGGGACCTGCGGATGTTCATCATCGTGGATGGTGATGGCAATGACACTTGCATTGCGACCTGGAAGGGACATATGGTGCTTTGAAAAATAAATCCCTAATTTATAAATTATGTACAAATTTAAGTCTAGACATGTTATTAAGTAGCTGCGTATAACTTCGTCTTTGGTGGTGTGTTGTAATTTGTTTGATTCAGAAATAAGCAAATATGGACACCAAATTCATTTCATATTTCTAGACCCATTAGAGCATCTCTAGCAGATCACTTAAAAGAGCGAAAAGTGCAAAATAATCATTGTTTTACAGTTTTGACCGAAAATTGACCCGAGTACACCCTCAAAATTGGCCGGCCTGTATTTTTTGTTGTTGAGGAAAGCCTTAATCGAGTATCCAGTACCTCACATGTTCAGGATTTGTGACAAATTTTCAGTTCCCTTTAAATAAAAAGGCGATTGACGGGAGGGAAGTTTCAGGTCCAACCATCGGCGGCCGATGCCGCACTCCAACTCCACTGCCTTTGGCCAAATTTCCGGCGGACATTCCCAATTCGGGCTGGAGCGCCCGCCTCTCCTCCTACGACCGTTGCTGGCCGACGCCGCCCTCCAACCCTGTTGCCTCCTCCTTCCCCGCGCCGGGCTCCCTCTTCCATCGCTTGTTGCCACGGCCACCAAGGCATGACCGCGTCGCACCTTACCTCGACTGCCCTGGCCTCCCCGGTGCTCCCGTCGTATCCGCACCGCACTGCACTCCCTCCCGGACCACCCCTTGCCTGCCTGGATTTCACCGGCCAGACGCGTGAAAGGAAGAAAAAGATGACCACGGGGAATATTCGTTTTACAGTAAACAGTTACGGGATCTGTTCCGCTACTGTCCAGATGGTACTGTAAAACAGGTTTAAGGTTTTTTCTTATGATGCTTTTACGGTACCGTGAATACAAGGGATTTGCTAGAGATGCTAGAGCGAGACCCTTCCAAGCTCAAAGTATGGTCCACTATCTGTATGTGCAAATACCTAGCTTAGTTATATGGGTTTATTTACGATTCGAGAATGTGACAGTTCAACATTTAGTCATTTACACGCGCGTGCTTATCGACACCGCTGCTCGATCACTTCGCGTAGCGCCCGTCTCGACGCCGCAACGTCTCTCCCGGCGACGAACGGGTGCACGAGCAGCTCTGCGACGGACGCTCGCTTCCGATGGTCCTTCTGCAGGCAAGCGGCCACGAAACCCCGGAGCTCCGGCGATGCCTCACCGTCGGGAAGTGCCGGCAGCTCGCCGAAGCAGACGGCACACATGAGCGCCGCCCAGCTCAGCTCCTGCCCGGCGGGGAGCAGCGGGTACCGCCCCATGAGGAGCTCCAGGACGGTAACCCCCAGCCCCCACACGTCGGCGGCGTAGGGGTCGACGGGGCCCTCCTCGTCGCCGGCGACGTGCAACGACCGCTCCGTGTCGAAGCGCTCGGGGCTCATGTACGCGGCGGTGCCCTCGTAGGCCGCGCGGTACTTGCCGGCGCGGGAGACGACCTCGGCTATGCCGAAGTCGGCGATCTTCACCTGCCCGGCACTGTTGACCAGAAGGTTCGCAGGCTTGATGTCCCGGTGGACGACGCGGCGTGCGCGGAGGTACGCCAGGCCGGACAGCGCCTGCGCCGCCACCTCCGCCAGAGCCGCCTCCGGGAAACCTCCCTGGCCGGCGCGGACGAGCGAGTCGAGGGAACCGCCGTCCATCAGCTCCAGGAGTAACGCTGAGTCGCCGGAACCCGTCGGGAGGACCGAGTGACACCGGACGATGTGAGGCGAGTCGACGCGGCGTACAACTTCTACCTCCTCGTCAGCGCCGGGGTGGCCGCGGTGAATGATCTTGAGCGCATACAGCGCCGACGTGCGGCGGTGCGTGACCTTGTGGACGGTGCCGCCGTTCCCGCGCCCAAGGACGGAGAGCCTGTCGAAGTCGCTCAGGCGGAACTCGCCGTCCGGCCGAGCCGCCGAGGTGGACGGCGTCGCCGCGGTGACCGGCGCCGGGGCGGGGCACCGGAAGGCCCACGTGGGAGCGTCGAGCGTGAGGTGAAGCTGCGGTAGTCGTCTTTCTCTGGCAGCCGCCATGATCTTGATCGCCGTGTGTACGTGCGTTGTGTTTTGCAAGAACTGTGTTTGCAATAGTATGATGTGAAATTGATGATTGAGCAATGGATGATGTTTGTTTGTGGATGGAGGTGAGGTTAGCTTTATACTACGACGTGGCGGCGCAAGTGCCCCTACCTTAAATTTGGCTGACTGTGCTAAGATTTGGATGTATAACTTCCGATTCTTTTTAAATCGTTCTTTCGAAAACGATGCCAAAGTGTGCAGAAATGGATATTCATGATGTTCCTCGCAAAAAAAAAAGGATATTCATGATGTTATTGAGTCTAAAATTTAAGAATAGTTATGACAAATGTTTCCTTGGAAATACCCTGTATTTACATTGCTTGGTAAAAGTTAGACAGGTGGGTTTGTTCTGGATGATTGGGTTACCGTCGTCTTAGGCATGTAATGTTTACACATGTTCTCCTCTATTACACTGGTGACGGATCCGTATAGTATGATACACTTCTCTGGCAATATCATGGAAGTCGAATTTGCTAGTGTGTCCGTAGCACGGTAACTACCGTGAGTCTTGTATTATGTTATCTCGTAGGGTTTGTATGATGTTTATGTTTGTTTCCCTTTCCCTTTGTTATCTGTGTTTGTTCTACTATAATTCATGTTCTATGATCAATTTTATCATGTGTTACAAGTTACAACTGTTAAACTAATCTGACTAATTTTTTAAGAAGTGTCAAGTGGGGTTATATAATTATCCATTCTGCTAAGCTTGATCTTGATATTAATTCCAGACACTTGGGGGTTGAAAGGACCGCCGTCGCTAATGAACACTGTAATCTTTAATTTTAGGTGATGTGGATATGTACCTCTTAATTGGTAAGCTTAGTGTGAAAACATAGGCCTAATTCAGGAGATATTTTTCTGGCGCGGAGGGGATATTTACTAGTCCTAAGATGCAGACTGGTTGAGCGTGAGAATGAACACAACGCAAATAAAAAGATGCATGATATATAAGACTGGAATACGTTTTAAGTCCATAAATGAAGTTACAAGATTTATAAAATGGATGCCGATAACTGCCACACGTGTGGACATTAAGGGGTCTGCCCACACATTTTGTGTGGTGTCTAAGAGGACCAGCCCACAAGTCTACGTGTGGGCAAAACAACTAGCACCCACACGCATCTTGTTTCCCCGCGGTCCCTCTCACATGCCTACGTGTGGGCAAAATGCTCCCATACGACCTCTCTCAGCCACCTATCTCACTGTCCCGCGCGCCCCGCGTGACAGTCACCACGTGCCCGCAGTTGCCATGATACAGATCCTCTTCCATGTTCGTTTAACTGCAGTTGCCATGTCACTGAACTACAGTTGCCACGTCGGACAACTAAAATTGCCATGGTTGCTCAATTGCAGTTGCCATCTCAGGTCCAGTGCCAGATGCCATTTTTGGACAAATTGCAATTGTTGCCATGTTTGATCTGGTTTACTATAGTTGCCATGATTTGAAAACTTTAGGAGTTGCCACCTACTAATACTAGGCAGTTGTCGTGTTCACATGGCAACTGACATGTTTGAGTAAAAGAGAGAGTTGCCATCTTCTTACAAGCACACTAGGGCAGTTGCCGTGTACCCTGCAAAACACATGGCAACCAACATGTTCGGGAGAGTTGCTATCCGCTTACAAGCACAATAGGGCAGTTGCCGTGTACCCTGCAAAACACATGGCAATTGACATGTTCGGGAGAGTTGCCATCTGCTTACAAGCACAATAGGGCAGTTGCCGTGTACCCTGCAAAACACATGGCAACTGACATGTTTGGGTGAAAGAAAAGAGAGTTGTCATCTGCTTACAAGCACATTAGGGTAGTTTGCCATGTACGCTGCAAAACACATGGCAACTGTAGCTTGGGTGTGGGAGAGAAGACGGGCGTGTGGGCGAGATGGCAAATGCCCACACATCAGCCCTTGTGCGTGAGTGAAATCTGGCATGTGGGCGAACTGCTAAATGCCCACACGCCGGCCCCTCCGTGTGGTGAAACGGACGTGTGGGCGACCGGGTGAATGCCCACACACCAGTCCAGTCCTACGTGGCACCACAAATATGCCAAGATTCGTGCATCCACAAACGGACGCGGATCCACGCATGTGGGCGTTAGTGTTTCCGTTGTAAAATATATATACTACATCAATGTAATATACATATATCTACAATTAATGTCACAAATTTTGAAGAACACTTTAAGCCCACAAATTGAGTTAGGAAACTCAAGTCTCACAATTAGTATCTCATAATTTCTTATGTAAATAGTAAACTAAGCTAATATTCAGAACATGATGCCCTCTTGCAGTATCATGAAAGTTGAATTTGCTAGTGTGTTGGTAGCTTGGCTGCTACCACAAGTATAATCTATGTGGTGGAAGTGCATACCATTTGGTTTTGTATGTTTATGTTCATTTCACTTTGTTATTTGTGTCTGTTGTGCTATGAAAATTAGGTTTTCAGTCCGCTTTATAAAATAAAACAAGCACCACGTCCATTCAAGTAGTTCAGGTGCAGGAAAGTAAATAAGGTCTGGTTGGCGGAGCAACAACACAAACTATAATTCATGTAAGAAAGTGTCAAGTGGGGTTAGATACTTATCCACTCAAGAAACCTCGAATTGGGGGCTTAAGGACCGCCGTCGCTAACGAACATTGTCATCTTTAATTTCAGGTGACATGGATCTATACCTCTTAATTGGCAAGCTTAGTGGCAAAACATAGGCCTAATTCAGGAGATACTCTTCGGAGATATTTATTAGTCATAAGATGCAGACTGGTTGAGCGAGAGTGAACACAGCACAAAAATTAAAAGATGCACGATAGATAAGACTAGACAGTGAGATGGATGCTGATGGGTGCGGGTGTTGTTGGACCATGGAGTCAGCCAATCATATCTGGTTCAGGTAGCACAACCATGAAGAGAGAATGCGGTGCCAACATAGGCCATCACGCACGACCGCCCGCGCGCACACCATGTTGGCCCGAGATTAGCTTGGTTGTGGAGTCAGGTCATGGTTCCCATCTTCATTGCTTTAGTATATTATTAATCATGTGTTTTCGTTAATTGCAGATGTATAGTACATCAGCATTCATGCATTGTTCTTGCAACAGATTTGCAGCCAACTATTGTTGCACCCTTGCAGGGAAGACATTTCTGATATGAGGCTTTCTGAATCTTTGAAACATTTGTTGCAATGTTACCTTCAAATTGTTGACAGGGCAGGCTGTTCTGCTCGGCCGAGCGGGTCGTCTGGTGGTCGGCGGCGTAGTGCTGCACAACATCGAGGCTCCTTGTGGGGGAGATTGTGTGGTGAATTTCTATTGTGGGGATGGTGAGCTTGTCGGCCCGATCGCCAATAACTGATGTTTTTGGCTCAGTATCTCAGAAGTGCTCATAGGAATAGACGAGTATGCGTGTATTTATAAGGATGAGTGTATATAGGCATTTGTGTTGTATTGTGTTAAAGAAAATCCTTTTTTTTAGCTAGCATGTCTGAGATTTTCACCTCATACGGCTCAGTCAATTCTTTCGAAGGTATCATTTTCCTCGTTTGAAAGTCGTCGCCCTTCTTTTACTCTGTCCCGAAGACTAAGACCAATTGATTCACGTTTTCATGTCTAATTGAACACTTTCCATTTATGATATGATTAAAGAACAAGATTGTTCATCTAACAAACATATGCAGATCAAATCACGTCTTATAATAAGTGAATCTACACACTAAAATGTGTCTATATACATTTGTATGTAGTTTTTATTGAAATCTTTAAAAAAAATACTTATATTTAGAAACGAAGAGAAAGTAGATGCCAATGTGTGCACGTGAAGCTTGTTGTGCAAGCTACATTTTGTTCTTATCAGGATTGCATTCTCCTTGAGTCAATCCAATACATCGTTGACATCTTCACCTTGAGCCAATCCACATGGTCGGCATCCGCACATCCCACTCCCGACAGTAGGATGATAGACCTCTGCGGCTCTGCCCACTGGCATTGGCAACATCAACGTAATCTTCTTGCTGCATGATCATCGAACAGCCAGTGCTACGAGAGCCGGATACATGTCGGCATGCCTTCTCTTCGTCAACCACAAGGTCGAGACGTGACTCGTACGTACCTTCGTGAGGCCACAGCACACGTAGAACACTATGCTATGCTTCGTGCATTATCCAAGTACGGAAGCCAGTAGCAAGTTTCAGAGAAAACCAAGTTAGAAGTTTCGACTAAGCACAGTGTCGGAGGAGCTCACAAGTTTTCAGAAGTTTCACCAGCACAGCTGCTTCGAATGCAACGCCCCATACTTCTCACAGTGCCACGTCCACACGGTTTCAGACTTCGGCTGTAAAAGCAACTCGTCGTATTGGCCCGATCTGCATAATAATCATCAAGATGACGATTATAGCACAAAATGGCACTCTAGCAGAGGCCATGTGGCTCATAATCGGCATACTGGATGGAGGTCGCCCCGTAAATGAGCTTGCGACCTCTAAATTTGGAGGCTGGGGAGGAAAGTTTTAGCTTCTCCCCTTCCATCTCCTCCACCGTCCAGGACAATACCTTTCCAAGCATTTTAGCAGCTAACACTGGGACTATGTTCTCAAATTACAAGAGGGGTGAACAGAAAAGTAAATTCAATTCCCACACCTCATCTCAGCGTCAGGTATATTACATCCAACGAGTAGAGTTGCATTCATTCTATGGCAGCAGAAAACAACAAGAAGAAAACCCTTTTCAGTGGCTCTAGCAGTATAACAAAGCTGATAGGAACACAAGCGCAGCATTCTAAAATTTACATCACACTGTAGGCGCCGATAGACAGACAACACCTTGTTTTTGCTCCAGCGCAGCGACGATTCCTTCATAGGAAGATGCAATCTCTCGTGATCTATAGGAAGCTGTAGTGCTGTAGTTTGTAGGCTGTAGCAGATGTACTAGTGCGCTCATATGAGTAATAGTATTTGCCCCTAATGAAT